ACAAGTGAAGGAGAGCTCAGAGTGTTTGTGTAGGCCACCCAGTGACACCTCACAGAGGAGTTTGCTCAGGACAGTTGCACTCTGAGCTGCCAGGTGAGCTCCTGGGAGTCCAGGGCACTGCTGCTGCCTGCTCCAGGAGCAGAATGATCCATGAGGATCCGTGTGATTGATCCTTGCATAACTTTGCAGCCAGCAAACAGCGTGATGGGTGTGAGTTGAGACAGGGGGGGATGAGGGAAAATAAAACAGTGCCTTATGTTCCACCCAAGGGCGTGTATGCAAAGTTATTTTGTGCTCAAACAGGAGCAAGTTCTGGGAATTGTACTGTTGCCTACACTTCTGAGGACTTTTAGTCCATGGGGACATGCTCTAAGGGGAAATTCAGTCTGAGCAGTTACCTCACAGGAGGGTCAAGATGTGTCCTATTCTGCAGGGTCAACAGCCTCTGCTGTCCTTCTTGATGAGGTTAAAGCTGCTCATTGGGACACATTCCAAAGGGCTTGTGGTCATGCCCTGGAAAGGCTTGGCAACCTGAATAAGGCTTCTGCCTTCCTGTTGGATATACATCTGGATTCCAGCCTTGGATGTGTGCACATAGCAGAGACAGGCTTCTGGGAGATGCTCTTTGCTTGCAACTCCTACACTTCCTCCAGGTAAACTGTACTCTCATTATATCCTGCCTGCAAAGTAGGGGCAAGGTGAGTTAGTAATTTATCTGCAGGAAGGCCCAGAAAACTTCATGGCACTGATAGGAACAGGAGTTGGAGTATCATTCACTGGTCTGTATATTCTCCATGGAAATTATGTGGGACACAGTGCTGCTGGGTGTGATGGGGCAGCCAGGAGAGTGCCCTGCTCACCAAAGGAAGATCTGGGGCAGTTTGAGCATCACTAGGAGTCACAGACACAAGTTTGCAATTGTCTGTCCAGAACTGGAGCACAGGAGATGGAACACAGTAAAACTGGATTTGGCTTGTGCAACCTTGGCAAGGCACTTTTCAACCCATAGCTGGGGAAATGGCATCTGTGATGAGGAAGAAGAGGCACTTCCCTGGAAGAGCAATTGCCACCCTGCTGGCTGCTGCCAGCTGCTTGCCTGGGTGAAGCAGACACCCTGAATACCTTCCTTTACAAAACATTTTTGTCCTTGAGGCTGGAAACGCCACTGCCCCGAGGGTAAACTTGTCAGTAGGTGTGTGTGGCTGGGAGCTCCTAATTCTGCCTGTGGAGCTGGGCACAAAGGTCCCACTGTTGGTTACTCAAGAAGAGGAATGCCACTTGCACTGTCAACAGCAAGGACTGGGTCTTGCTTTCTGCATTATGACAGCTGGCTTGTGGAATAGTGGAAACCTGCAGTGTTTGCTCAGCCTTAGAAGTCTCTCATTTGTTGTTTGTTCCTCTTACAAAGCCAGTTTTGGAACTTCTTCCCAGATATCCTTATGCAAATGCTGTTTATAGCTTTCCATTAAGCATCCATTAATTATCCCTGTCATGAGGGAAGGCTAGGCAGTTTAAATCTCCAAGTTGCTGAGTCTGAAATTTCAAAGTGAATGTTTTGTTTAAGTTAACCTTTAATGGAACAAACAGTAACTCATTCTCATCCTTGCTATGTATAGAGTGAACGCTCAGTGCAGAATGTGATGTAAACTAAAATGCCTAAATTTTTGTGTCTTCCTAATTCTTTCCCCCCACCCACCCTACTAGGTGCATTGTTTTTTCTCAGAGCCTCCATGCTGTCTTGCAGAGGGAACACATAAGGACAGCACTACCTTCTAGGCACATAGTTTGACTAAAAACATCTTAGTCCTCTCTCAGACAGAGGAATGTGTTTTTATGTTAGGTATCCCTTACACACCCTGTCTCTGACATTTTCCAAGAAGCTGTTGGTCAGAATTACACCAGTGAAATTTAAACCCTTCGGGGAACTGCAGTTCTCCATTTGACATGGGCAGAGCAGTTTTTGGACAGCTTGGGTCAGGCCCTGGTATTGATTTTTTCTTTTTGTTAGACTTGAAGGTCCAGCTGGTCCCAGGGATTGGGAAGTATTGGCCAGCTACCACTGTGTGCTTGGTGTTTGTTGTGCATGAGAATATCTTGAAGAACCATCTTGATAAAAGACACTTAATGACCTTAGTCACTTTGAGGGGGGAGGGCTGGGGGCTAGGTTGGGGTATCCTCCCATTATTTGCCAGCAGTCTTTGCCCTCAGTCTTCGTGATTCAGAATATTTTGCAAATTAATACATCCTTCTGATCTGCTGGATTTTGACACTGGACACCAACAACCATTCCCAAGATGGGCTTCCAGTGCTTTGCTGGTAAACACCTGGGTCAGGGAGTGCATTAGGAAGTGTAGTTAGTCTGCTGGGCTATATGATGTTATTTCTGTCCACCTGGTCCTTGAGATAATAAAGGTATTTTCAAGACAGACACGATTGCAGTGCTGACAGAACTGCACTGGTAGATACTGGTATTTTTTTCCCCAGTACAAAAGCTCTTGATAAAATTGCCTGTCTCCAAAATTTGGGGAAAAAATGAACATGGGCAGGGACTTTGGGAGACAAGAAAAGAGGATTTATTCCTTCAGTAGGGAAAACAGTGTAGCTGGAAGAGAAACCATGAAGAACAGAGACTATGGAAAACCTGGGAGGATACCTGGAGCCTGAAAGACTGTGCACTCCAGGGTGCTTCTGGAGTCAGGGTCAGGCTAAGCTATCTCTCCTTTGAGAGGCAAAGCACGCCGGTGACATCACTGTGCTTGTGCCTCTGTTTCACAAGTGTCTATTTTGTCCCAGAAGATCTCAGGAGCAGATTCTGGCTCAGATGGGCTTCTTCTCTTTCCCATAGGAGAAGTTGGTTCACAGGGCTACACTGATGGGAATGCCATGTCAGGAGAGATCCACACACAGTGTGTAGGACAGTGTGTGTTCACAGCCCAGGGTGGCTGAGCACCTCCCTGTTTTGAGAGACAATGGCTTGTTCTGAGTGCTGCTGCTTCCTGCTTCCCTTCACAGGCAGGTGAGGCTGAGGACAGATATTGCCAATAAGGCAGTGTCCAGTTCTCATCCCTGCAGATCACTAGCATTCTCATTTGTGGCGCTTCTCAAGCACCTCTTGACGTCATTAGTACAGATGTGGGATTATAAGACTGGAAAGATGTCCTGCATTTTGGGTCAAACCCCAAGAAAAGCTTTCATCTGTTTGAGGTTGCTGGCTGCCTACACCTCTTTGGGATGCTCTGTGAAACTTGGCTGCTGGTCAGCTTGCCACAACTCCACCTTCTCCTTCACTGATAGCTCCTGCACCGTTCCAGTGACACTGAAATAAGGTGTGAACTTCCCAGCAGGGGAACTCTTCTGTAAGGGTACCAGCTGCTGGGCCCAGCAAAGCTGGTAGCACTTTGTGCCTGCTGTTGCCTTCTCCTCGGTGAAAGCAGCTGATGTATCCCAGGTGCTCACCAACTCTCAGAGACCATGTGGGTCCAGATCCTGATGTCACATTTGGCTGGATTTGCTAATAAATACAAGATTGATAAGAGCTGGGCAGATTGTGTAGTCACAGACCCTTGGTTTCTTTGGGAAGTGTCCTGAACACCTCTTGGGGTTTTTCTGCAGCATGAGCTGCTCAGAAATGAACATGGTGGTGCCCTGGGGAATGGGACTTGCCCTTGTCCTGCTGGGGCTGCCTGTGCCTGAGAAGCAGACGTGTTTTTCCAACATGGAAGTAACCTGATTGTTGACTGTGCAATGGGGTGTGCTGTGGCTGAGCTGGAGTTAACTGGTGCTGAAAGGGGACACCTTGTCTGCCCACTGCACACGCAGCTGTAAATCAGGTGTCACCACAGCCATTAACCAAGTGTCACCGAGGGCAGCAGGATATTTCTTAATGTGCATTTCCCACTGGGCCACTGTGGCTTAGAGCTGTTCTTAGCTTTTTGTACTGTACTGCTAAATTATGAGACGCTTAATAACAATTGGCAGAATGCTGATAAATAATGACGATTTTTTTTTTCCAGATTATCATCACTGACCAGTACTGATTGGTCTTGATTTTAACCTCTGGTTATTGCAGCGAAAGTAGTTTGGTTTCTTTAGGTGCTGGACTGTTCTCAGTTCCTCTGGGTATCCTCAGCTCTGCATGGGAGGGCTGTTCACTCCCACTAACCATCCAAACTTGCTGGAGATAGCTACAAACTGTCAACAATCTCCTTTTCCCATCCTCCCTGGAACACAGTCCAAATGTAGATGCCAGGATACACAGGTTCCCTTTAGGGAAACTGAACATGGTGGCGCAAGCTGCCTTCCCTTTTCTACTCTTTTACAACCTCTCTGCCTTTCTCAACCTGTTATGCCCAAGAGCTGTTCATCCTGCCCCCAGCCTCATCTGAGACCAAACCCAGAGGAAAGACCTGCAGGGTCCTGCAGGTGCCAGTTTTGTTCCTTTACATGCTCCAAAGTGCACCACACTGTCAGACCTGAGAGCAACGGGAGCTTGCCTTGGGGGTCAGAGGTGGTCTGTCCTGGAGGAGTTCAGTGGGATTAAACAGCAGTCAGAAAAGGGGCTGCTGAGTGGCTCTGAGAGCATGGCTGAGCTTGCAGGAGCCTCAGCACAGCACAGAGCACAGCCCCTCAGTGATGGGTAAGCTGCAGGTCTCCTGGGACACATGTGCACTCTAACCCCAGGATTAGATGGCTACCAAACCACAAGCTGTGGTATTTTTTGTCTTAAATAAGACATGTTTCTTAAATGGATGTGTAGAAGGTCTCTCCTGTTGCCCCAGTGTCTAACCAGGCCTCCCTGCTTATGACTGCCCTGAGGAAGGGGTGGGGAATTGAGATGCTCAGTGTTTCCTCATTCCTGAGAGTTCAGTGTTTGGGCTCACCGCTCCTTAGCTGCATTCAGTTATTTAAGCAGGACAGCTTGGGAGGATGTATCATGCAACAGGCAGGGGCTGTGCTGAGCAGTGTGGGACCTTCAGGCACCTGGTGTTTGACTTGTCTCCATAGATGCTGTGACCATGGCATCCCAAGGCCAGGTCATTTTCTGGAGGTACGGTACTATCTGCACTTGCCTTGGCAGAGGGGAGGGAGGCAATTGCATTTTTCATTCTCTTGGGATGTTTCACCCTGCTGCCAGGAGCTCTCAAGACAGCAGTTCTTTGCAGCTTGACTGTACTGCACTCACTCAAGCTACTTAAATACCAAGCAGAGCTTGTTTTATACTATTTGTAAGGCCATGTATGTATCAGACACCAATGTGCAGGTCATCAACTGTAGTCAAGATGGAGATGCACGTCCTAGAACTCTGCATTTGCTAGAATTTGCTATCCTAGGGTTGAATGTTGTGGTAGATTGGGATAGCAATGCTTGAGGAAGGGTGTATTTCTTCTATTGTATTTTGGGGGTTCAGTGGCCTGAGGAGGGCACCCTACTTCTGCTGGTCCTCAGACAGTTGCTTGTGTTTCTATCACATCAGCTTGCTGTAGGGAGAAACAAACTGTCCTCCAGAAGATTTCTTTCAGGAGTAAGAGCCAGAAAAACATTCCCAAAGTGTTTTGTGCCTCTCATTTCAATGACCCCATTTCCTTTGGAGCTGTTGACCAAATGCTGGTGAACTACAGTTAGAAAAAGAAGTCATAAAAATATGTACCTTGTACCCTTATCTCCTGATTAGTTGAAAATAACCCCCACCAGGTGGATAAAATGGCAAATTTTTCATCCTTTAGTGAATATGGACTGAACTCTTATCTAAACCTCACTGCTTGAACAGAGACAGCCAACAAGCTGTGTCTTTCCATCCCAGGTATGGACTTTCCAGGCTGGATGGAGACAGAGGTTCCAGTGGTGTGTGAGACAGTCCTGGTGGCATTTATTCTGTGAAAAGGTTTCAGCTGTTACCAGTATCTGTCCCACCAGAGTGGAACAGCAGGGGGGAGAAGGACAGGCCACGTGTGAACAGAAGAGACCTCACACATGAGCTGTGTCGCATGGAGCATCAAGGAAGGACTAAATAGCAATATTACCTGCACCTTTTCACTGCCAGGAGTGAGGCTGCCTGTAGACACAATGTCAGAGTGTAAACATTCTCTGGGCACTGTGTTCCTCATGTGTTTGGAATGCACGCAATAACCAGCTCTGTTATTCTCAGCCAGCCTTTGTCGGGGAAATTAAATTACTGATGGGTGTGAAAAAATGCAGATCTATCCCCTTGCTGCTCTAAAAACCTTCCTCCTGCTCTGCCAGTGCCTCTGCCTGCCTTGCCAGGCAGCAGGTTACTGGGAGAAGGAGGCTTCCTTCAGGGATGTTTGCTTTTCAGGCTAATCCTGAAATACAGAAACAGACCAGAGAGAGGGGTGAATTTTCCAGGAAGTTTCAGAGAAGCAGTGGGAGATTTCTGCTGATTTCAGGTTAAAAAAAACAACCAAGGAAACAAAAACAAAAAAATCCCCAACAAAAACAAGAACAAAACCTCTTGAAGTGCTGAAGAAAGTTTGGTTCTGCAATCATCAGCTGTATATTGGAATAGAAACCCTGTTGGTTTGGGTTACCACTGCCATTTCTTTTCCACAGTAAACTTTGATATAAGGAGGAAGACAAGGGATCTTCAATATCTTAATCTTCCAGGTTTTTTTGACCCTCCAAGCCCATTCCTGAGGGAAAGCTTAGTCCAAGTGGAACTAGAGATCTGGAGGTTTAGAACTGCTGCCTGTCGCGACCAGGCTGTGAGCCTCTCCCTGTCCCCAGGCTGTGGGGTTGGCAGCATTCAGGCAGGGAATGAATGGATTAATTTAATGCCAAATTTGATTCTAGTTTGATTCCAGTTTGATTCCAAGTTTGGCTGGTGAGGAACAGGACTATGGAAAATAGGGTAGGAGGTAGAGAGCAGCATCCCACAGGCTGCCAAGTCAGCACTGGGAACTGAGGGTGGTGTCAGGGCTTCGACTGGTGCAGCCTCAGCCACCTACATCAGTCTGTTTCTGTGCCTTTGAAATACTGGAGGTACCAGAGGTGCTGATGCACAGAAAATTGCTTTTTGCTTAAAGTGGACTACTGCAAGACACAGCTACCACCAACATGTGGCTAGGATGCCAGGTTCCTCTCATTCACTCTGCACTCCAGATCTACTTGTTACACACAGTGGGCACACAGCAAATGTTTGTAAGGATCTTGTGATTCCTGGATCTTGCAGTTTCTGCAGAGGAAACTCCAGAGGGACTAATTTCTCCTTGTCCCTTACAAGGGATGTTGAAGTAGGCAGTGGCATCTGTATACTCAAAATTGCCATTCCCCCTGTGACAAATGAGCAGCTTTTTCAATCAGCCCTGCTGGTGCTCTAGCAAAGCTTTGCAGCTTTGGGAGAAGGTGGCACCAGCACAGGACCAAAAATATTGGTGTGGCCTGTTTGAGCTGGTTTGTGTTTGTGAATAAGGTGAGGATGGTTTTGGATAGAAGAGTGTGAGGGCAGAGGTGGTGTTAAGGCCAGAGGGTGCTTTCAAGGACCAGAGGCAAGTGTGGTGGCACTTGAAGCGTTCAGGGACTGCACAGGAGGACATCCTGGCTGCTTGTCCCCCTGCCATACCTCCTGGCATTTACTGTAATCCTCTGGCAGCATCCCTCAGCTCTGAGCACTTTCTTCCCTGCCTCTCCTTGGGAAGAAGAATTGTATGATATTGCAATAAAGGTGAGTCACAATTGTTGTGTGAGAGCACAGTGTGGCTGCTTCTTGCTTTGTGCTTCCCAGGCGTGGGAGCTGAGGCTTGTCATGACAACCTTGGCTGAGTTTATAGCACCTATCTTGCTCTGGGATCAACTCCCAGAGTGGAAATTGGTAAAGCTCCTTAAGGAGATGGATGTCATTCAACATACACGAGACACTTGGCATCTTTCCCAGAACAGGAAAGCACAGGCTGTCCCATGGTGAGCCTGACTGGGACCTGAAGTGACTCGGGATTGAGTCCCATGGGGCATGCCAGGGCTTTGCTGGAAGCTGTCTCGCTGCAGGATCCACAGGAGCCATCAAAGTCCCCATCCCACAGGCCCTCAGGGGAGGCAGTGGCTGGGTCCCCAGCTGTCTGGTGTCCATGGCTGGATGATATCCATGGCTTTTCTGCCAGCCAAATGTGACTTCTCCCAGCTCTGGGGGCATCTAGGCAGACCTTGGTGTGGATGTGAATGTGTTTTGTACATGTGAAGGGTTTTGTACAAACCCTTATCTGGACATACCACATACTTTGGTGAAATAGAGTTCTGATCTCTTCTGAGCACATGCAAGCAGGGTTTCCTCAGACAACTTCCCAATGGCTTTAAGGAGAGTGCAAGGGAGACAGTGGGAGGGCAAACAAGTCTGTAACATCTCCCTTTTTCTCTATTCCCTCTTTCAACCCACCTTCCCTTTCTCCCTTCCCTGCTCTTCCCTCCGGGAGAGGCTTGTTCAGACGGTGCAATTCTCTTGAGTTCCTTATCAGCCCTGTGATCGTGGCATCTGTGGAAATTGAGCAAGTCACAGATGCAGGCACACATAAGTGGTGGGAGGAGTCCATGGCTGCAGGGACACTGATGGACTCTCCTGCGAGAGGCTGCCCAGTGTGTTGGCAAAGTGTGCTGCAAACCAGCAAATGCTGCTGAAGCAGAGCAGCTGGTTTCGTGTGGGCAGAAGGGCTGTGACCTCTCACAGCCTGCAGCTCTCTGGGCTTCTCTGTGAGGAGTCTCTGTGAGATGGCTGGGCATGAGCCCCAGGATGGACCTGTGGGTTTTGTGGGGAGCTGCCTCAGGGCTTGCTCTGTCTGGGAGCTGAGTTTGCTGCCACAACCCCTCAGTCCACAGGAAAATGTGCTTGTGACCACATGACAGCTCCACTGGCTGTGGTGGGAGTCCATACCCAGCCAAGCTTCTGGGTCTGTCCAAGCTGGGCTGTGCCAGAGTGGCTGTGCTTGGCAAGGCTGGAGCTGTGCTGATCCATGACACGCTGCTTTTCTTCTCCTCCACCTGTGTGGCTTGGCAAATGGTCCTCTCCTCCTCAGTCTCTCATTCAACGTTACCCATCTCCACATAGAGCATCCCAAATCCAACCACCTCAAAAAAAAATGGCCCTGTTTCCAGACCCCTCCTGCACATGTACATGGTGTCTCCTGGGGTCAGGGGCCTCTCTGCTTTGCTCACTCCTTGGTCACTCACAAGCTCCAGCAGGGACTGCCTGACTTGCTTATGCACCAGGGAATGCAGAGAGAAGCATCCTGCACTGAGAGCTGCCTGCTCTCAACGGCAAAGCCTGCATCCCCTGCCATATGGGTCCCCCACTGTTGATGACAGGTGCTGCTCACCTGAATGTTCATCACTATTATGGTCATGTGCTTCACCCATCTACCTCATTCTGGGTCTGTGGCTCACCTGCCTCCACCTCCTTCCTGCAGACAACTCTGCAGATGGATGGTACAGGCATGGGCTGTGAAGGAGGTGGACTCTGAGCTAATGTTGTCCTTTCCTTTTTCCCCAATAGCATGACTACAGTCATTGTCATCCTGGCTGCAGTGATCACCCTGATCATTGGTTTTGGTGTCTCAGGTATGTGACTACTCAGATTTCTTGCAGTTTCTGGTGAGGTGATGAACTTCTGCCCTGCCTCTACCTCCGTGTGTCCACCCCCTGCACAGGCTGAGGTGTGATCATGTGTGGAAGTGCCTCATCTTTAACACCCTTTAACAAAGGCTAGGCAGGTGTAGTGCAGCCTGTGCTGCTGGAGGTGTTGTCATGTGTCAGCTGAAATTTCCTTGGGTTTGGAGCCCCAAACCTACACATAAAGTCCTGCACATACTCTGCTCCTTCTCCCAGACAGGATGAGATGAGGGGATGGTATTTATTATGAAATCAGAGAGCATCTGCCAGGATGGGACACCTTTCCCAGGTCCCTCAGAGACAACAAAAATGTGTTGCTTTGGTGTTGGCCAAAATACAGTTTCCTTGGAATGTGCTGAGTTAGGATGGGTAGGGAAGGGCTGCATGGGAAAGAGGGCCTGGCTCTGGGAATTCCCAGGCTCACAGCTTAGGATTTAAGATGCTGACTTTTCTTAAATGAAAGAAAAATATTTGGATTTCAGTAAGGGGGAAAGAGCTGCTATTTCTCTGCCTTCCAATCACGCTTTTGTTGCATAAAGGAAGGTCCTGACTAAGAAAAGACAAAAGTCATGCTTCTCTGGCAACTGCAAAGAGAAAAATCCCTGTTACATATAAGTAAACAAGAAAATACCACATGAATTCTTCTCAAACATGTAAGAAGAGCTACTTTTTGAAGCACTCTTTTGCTAATGAAATACTGTGCTTTATTTTGGCATGCAGTCCACAGGAGCTGGCCCCTACTAGCAGCACTGGTAGCTGCCATCGGTGGCCTTGCCGTGTGCCAGTGCCTATTCAGCCTCATGTCTGGTCCATGACAGCTACAGGGCAGTCTGGCCTTTCTCCAGGATTGCTGCCTTACCTTTCTCCAGCCTCCTTGCTCTCTCCTTGCAGGAAAACACTCCATCAGTGTGACGGCACTGACGTCTCCAGGGAACATTGGCCAGCGCAGCATCCTGGGCTGCACTTTTGAGCCTGACATCCGGATGGACAGCATAGCAATCCAGTGGGCCAAGGAGGGAGTAGTTGGGCTGGTTCATGAGTTTAAGAGTGGGAAGGACCACCTGCAAGAACAAGATCCATCATTTCAGGGCCGCACGGCCGTGTTTGTGGACCAGGTGATCGGCGGGAATGCTTCCCTGGAGCTGAGGGATGTGCAGCTCTCCGATGCTGGCACCTACCAGTGCTCCGTCACCACAGCCAGAGGGAGTGGGGCAGCGGTGCTGCAGTACAGGACAGGAGGTGAGGGCTACAAGGAACAAAATCCTGCTTCAAAACATGTGCTGGTGTGCCTTGGTTGAACCTACCTGCACTTAGGATGGTGCTGCACCTCTGAGTAGGGTATTTTTCTGGCTTTTGCAAGGATATTTATGGCCTTACTCCATCTTTTGACATGCTTGTTCCAGGAAAGGTTATAATCTTGATAACACAGTAGCTTTTTCCCTCTAGAATTAGGATATATCTCCAGCCAGAAGTGCTGCATAGTAAATATTGTAGCATATTTAATGTATTTTTCTCAGTTTTTCTAAAGTTTCAGTTTTTTAAAAATTACTACCAAAGCAACAAACCTCTGATATCATAGTTATCTGAAATATTACATATTTACAAGAGACAGTCATCCAGGAGAGATCTGGAAACCACCAGGTCTTCAGCCTCTTCAAGTGAGATGAATTTGGCTGTAATAACAAGTCACCTCCCAAGCAGTCACCTCATGTTGAGACTGATGGATGAGCCCTTTGAGGGTCTCCTCCAGAGTGCAGTCATTGCACCCTCTCTCTCATCCCTGAGGCCAGAACTGCAGCCCTACAGCTCAAACTGGGTGAGGAAAAGTCCTCAGAACTCTCCAAGTAAAAGAGGGTTTTGGACTGCAAATGTCCCCTATCCCTCCTTGAAGCCCTATGGATCTGCCTGCTTTTGTGTTGCTTGTTTGGATGTTTAAAGTAATCCACACAGAAAGGCATTAGAAAGAAAATGTGAAATGGTGTAATGGGTTTTATTTCCAACATAGTAATACCTGTTCTGTGTGGAAAGACAGACATGTTCCTTTGAGCTGATTCCTTTAGCTCATCCTCTCACCAGTTCACCACCAGATCCTACCACCCAAAGCCAAAGCAGATGAATACTGAAGGCAGCTGTCCTGTGCTTGGGCTGTGTGCAGCCCTCCTTATTCCAGGTCTGCAGGGGATTGCTCAGGATGAGAAAATGGTCTCAAGTTGCACCAGGGGAAGTTTAGATTTAATATTAAGAAAAATTTGCTCAGGGAAAGGGTTATCAAGCCCTGGGACAGGCTGTCCAGGGAAGTAGTGGAGTCACCTACTATCCCATGAGATTTAAAATATGTGCAATTATGGTATAGTGGTGGACTTAATGCTGGGTTAACAGTTAGATTTGATTTTAAAGATCTCTTCCAACCTTAACAAATCTGCAGCTCTGTGAAGCTGTAGGTGTTGGTCAGGCCCCCTTCTCAATGAGTGAAGAGGGTGAATCATCTTTCTCTCATTATTAATAAAAACTAAAAACCACTAAAGCTGTGCCACAACCTCAGCAGATCCTGTCAAGCTGGATTGCTATGTTTAGATCCCTTGTAGTCATCCTCCCATGGCCCAACCTGTACAGAGCTCTGTCTGAGCCTGTTTTTGGCGTGGCTATGGGCAATGCTGTGCTGCTAAGCAGCAAGCAGCCTAGAAATACCTGGGAGTGGTAGATGCAGTGGGGTATTTCATGCCCAGTTCCTATCACTTGCCTTGTTTTGACTCTCTCCATTTTCCCTCCCAAAGCCTTCAGCATGCCCATGGTGCAGGTGGAGAGCAGCAGCCATGGGAACACACTGCAGTGCGAAGCCCCGCGCTGGTTCCCCTGCCCTGCCGTGCGCTGGACGGCCTACGGTGACACTGGGGAGCACCTGCCCCACACTGCCAACACCAGATACGAGCTGAACCCTGGAAACATCACTGTGAGGGTGGTTTCTCTCCTGCACAGCGTCATTGCTAATGCCACCTACACCTGTGTGATTGAAAACAGCATTGCCAAGGCTATGGGCAGCATCACAGTGACAGGTAGGGTTCAACACCACCCAGAGATGACAGGCATGGGGGAGAGGAGAGTTTCAGCGGTGTTCCTGATGCACCAGGGGGTTCCTGCAGCAGCTGTGTCAGTCAAGGACGGGTCTGAAAGCATGGCTATTCCAACCACTTCCCTCTGTCCCTGCAATGAAGGAAAGGGAATGAGTTTGCTCCTGCTATCTTATATGCTTCTCATGGTATTGTAACCTTGGCATGGGGACAGAACTGCCAGGGGACCAGAAAGAGAGATACACTTCAAAGGAGTGTATTGCTTGGAATGTTAACCAAAACCAAACCAACCAACCAAAACCCACATCTTTTGACACTTTCTTTAACCAGTTCAGCTTAGATCCCATTCGTGTACCAAACCAACAGGCCCATCAGCGGTTATTGATGACAATATCTCTGACTCTAGCCCAATCTCTTTATTTAAAAGGCCATTTTACTCACAGAAAAATCAAACTTTCCAAAGGTTCTGGGTATCTTCTCCTGTTCTACATGAGAAGGGTCATAATGCTTCTACAGCCAGGACTTCATTTGGTCTCCAGTACAAGAGGCAGGGTCTATCTTCATCCATATTCAGAAAAATGAGAAGGAATAAATGCACAATTTATTTGCCTTCCCTGCTGTGTTCCTGCTCTGGTAGCCTCTCACTATTCTTCTGCTACAGATTTCAGCATTACAAAGGTGACTAACTTGCAGCTGGTGAGCCTGAATGCAGAGTCAGTGTCATCCTTTCCAGCCTGTCACTGGATGCTTCTGCTTCCCTTGTACCTGCTGTCATTATAAAGCCTCTATAAAGCAATCGGAAACTCTGCTGGACCTGCAGGTAAGCTTGTGAAGGAAAATTCATATATGTACAATAAACATTGATCCTCTTAGGGAGCTTGGCTACAGCAGCAGACCTACCTCAAGCCTGCCAGAATTGGAGAATGTGTCTTTCCCCTCTGCCCCTCCTTTCCCCATCCCCACCTTTAGGTGGGACACATGGCTTGTCCCTCCCACAGGCTTCTTCCGTCACTTTCTGGAACCACAGAGATCCTTCTCTTACACCGTCAGCTGTCAGCTCTTACTTGTCCCCTCATCCTCTTTCCTTGCACCCTCTGAATCTGGGCTGCAGTTTATGGCTGCAAGGCAGTGTGGGCTTCTTCCTCTCTCTGCTCACAAGACCTGCTACAGTACAAGCCTTGCTTGCTCCCACTTTACTCACACAACTCCACAGTACAGTGTGCTGTCTCCAGCAAATAGTACAGACACCTAGCTCCCACGGCTAGAGGGATCTAGCCTGAGCAATCCCCTGCAGACCTGGAATAAGGAGGGCTGTACACAGCCAAAGCACAGGACAGCTGCCTTCAGTATTCGTCAACTTTGGCATTAGGTGGCAGGACCTGGAGGTGAACTGGTGAAAGGATGAGCTAAAGAGAACCAGCTAAAAGGAACATGTCTGTCTTTCCACACAGAATGGGTATTACAGCTACATTGATGGCAGGATTCACTTCAGGCTTTCCTCCCTCTGGGGCTGAGGACTTTAGGAGTTCCTGCCAGTTCCAGAGTACAAAGTAGCACAAACATGAAATTAGCTGATTTTTCTTGTGGTATTATTTCTTACCCACATCAACAACAGGATACTTTGTCTGGCTTCACAAAGAGAACAAGGAATGCGATAAGGAAAATTGCATAAAGGAAAAGTTCTGATTGCAGGCCAAGATATGTTCCCTTGTCTGATCTAACACAGTGACCAGAACTCTGATCATGGGCAGAAGTTCAGACGCAAACAGGAAAAGGGTTTCCCGCAATACAGCTGAGAACAGCTCATTCAGAGTACTTAAAGCAAGCAATTCTTAACTCCCTCCAAACAGATTTGATTCTTGGCTTGTGATTCCCTGACTGTACTAATAAAACTGTAAATAAGAGATCCAGTTAATCTCTTCCATCTTCTTGGAATGCTAAAATCAAACTCCACTTCTGAAAAAGATGAGAATGGCAGAACATTGATGAGTAAGAAAACTGCCAGCAGGCTTGGAATATCGTGGCAAAGACAAACCATGTCTAAAGTCCTGTATGAGGAGTGATGATTGCATTTGTAATATGAAATAAAAGAGGAAAGTAGACACCAGACAGAAAACTAACATACAGTATGAGGAGGAAAAGGAGACTAGTAAGATACTACTGTAAGGTTCAAATTCAGAAGAAAAGTTATTAAACCCAGATATAACAATAGAGCTGAATTTTCCTTTTTTGCTTTTTAAATAAGTGTTATCTGGCACTTCCTATCTATTTCTGTCTGTTACTGTGCTATTAATATTACAGGACTACTTTCAGTTGCACTTCTTAACCACATTTGATCTTTGTCTTATCACTTATGGTCAACATTTTCCTCAGGCTGAGATAGATTTTGGGGACTTTTTTTTTGTTTCCTTTTCTTTCTGGAGGGTGGAGAGTAAGCTTTAGTAAAATCTTTTCTGTTTTGCAGAATGGACCAAAGAAAATAAGGCTGTCACAGCAATATTTGCAGAGACTTCTGCTTTAAGCCATTTTAGCAACCTTTTAAGATGGAGTCTCAGAACTTGACTGAATGGTGGCATCTATCAGGTCTTGTGCCACTCACACTTTGGTCTCAGAAGTGGACAGCAGACTTTGAGAGGGAAGATATTTCAGTCATGCTCAATAAACCCACTGCCTGTATTACAGCTCAGTGCCTGCCTTTTCTTACCAGTCCCACCTAATGTTCAGGCTGCTGTTTATAAACTGCAAAACAATGCCCAAATAATTGTGTCATATGGTATCATGATTTAGCCTCCAAACAGCAGCTTATTCACTTCTCTTCTTGAAGGAGATGCTTTAAAAGTGTAATTTCAATCATTTCAGTTAGGTTAAGAAGACCATACCCTGTGGGAACTGGATAGTTTTGTTAATGGTCACCACATAGCAATTAAACCTGAATACTGAAATAGATACTAAAACAGATACAGAGCTCTTTAAGTAATATTTTCATAGCTTTATTTAGTAGATACTACCACACAAAATGCACACACTGTGTGCCCCAGGCCCAAGAGCTGTCACATAGAAAGCAGTGAACATCTCTCTTCCAAAATGTAGCCCAGTATCACTGGTTGACAATGGCCTAGAGTGACCGTTCAGGAATTCCACAAGTCACAGCAGCTGCTTGCCTGCCTGCTTCACCCTGTGCTCACGGGCTCATGCTCCTACTGGAAAGGAGATTAAAAAAGCTCCCGATCCCAGCAGATTTCCATAATTCCTCGTCCACTGGGAGAGATATTAAGCAGTGGCTCCCACTCAGCAGGAACTGGATGTCCTGCTCATCCTCTGGCTGTTCAGGTAGTGTAAGGCATCTTGTCCCACTTCCTCCACCTTCAGGCACAGCAGGCTCAGACGAGGCCCCACTTGTGACACGAACTCCACTTCACCACAGTGAAAATTCCGCAGCTGCAGGGGAGCTGCAGGAGAAAGATACAATGGGAACCAACTCAGTACAGGGCTCTGGCTCTGCTCTAGCCCACAACTGCAGAAGCTGCTGGGGGAGGGAAATTCTTGCAGCAGATGCTTGGCATCTGCTAAACATCAAAGGACAGCATGATGAATGATTCCAGGATATAGGCAGATGAATGTATTTTTCAGTATCCCTCCAAACTTGGAGGAAACAGACTTTCTACACTGTGAAACACTGTGAACTATGTGCTCACAGAGCTGATGCACTGAATTTTGTATCCTCTATCAGTATCAGCAACCTGCCTTTATGGACAGCATACATGACAGCCAGAAACAGTCTCCACTGCAGAGCATCCTCTGGTGAGCTTAGCAAATCAACCCCTGTAGCACCTGCACTCAAACTTAAGCTCTAGATATGTGTGCAAACAGCCAGAAGAACCGGTGTGAAGGATGTCCCCTTAACACAGCAACTGCACAGCTGTTGCAGCATGAGCTTGGACCTCAGCATTCATTAATTCAGAACACTTCAGTGTTCATTTCCAGGTGAGGATTTCCAGGCCTACTATTGACATTACATGCTGTCCCATCTAAAGTCAAAAGCCATGTGATTTGAGAGGTCAGCACAATAACTCTGAGTTATTGTATTACTTCTGTCCCAGAAAATGGGAATATTTCTCAAAAACAGTTTTATGTTTCTGTGTGAAATAGAGAAATTGTTCTAGTGATTTCTGTCATATTTTTTCTCTACTTTCATAGCCATGGATCTACTAAGACACAACTTAGTTCTACACTACAGAAATCAAAATTCCAGGAAAATCCTTCAAAGATCTTGCTTTGTGGGCAGTGAAGGCACCTCTCCTTCCCCAGCCTGATGAGATGCCTCCTCCCGTCCTTCCCACACTAAATATTAGAAAAGCCACCAGTACTTGCTTACCAGGCTGCAGGATCTTGGAGGGCTTTCTGTCTAGGCTGAAATCCAACAGGATAGGGCGACATATGAGAGGACTCCTGCAGAGACTCCTTAGGTAACAAGCAACAAGATCCTCGGGTTCCTCTAGACACTGAGGAAGGGAAGAGTGAGTTGCCAGAGAGTGTTCAGAGGGAGGCTCTGGAACACCCAGAGCAAAGGGAAATCCTGTCCAGCTGAGACTTGAGCCCAGCAGGCTGCAACTACTCCTGGAATAACCCACTCACCCCTGTTCCAGGAGCTTCGCCGTGCTGAATGCACACACTGCCCCTGCTCCGCACACAGCTCTGCACAGCTTCCCACTCGAGAAGGCTCAGGCCCAGCACTGCTGCCACATGTTCATTCCTGCACAGCACCAGCGCTTCACCTGTTCCATCCTCCACCAGCACCCTGTGCAGACAGCAAGTGGACTGGGATCAGAGGGGGGACAGGACAATGCCTGGCTCCCTCACAAGGGTCACACCCCAGACAACAGCTCTCAGTAGAGAGTTTGTTCACATCTCAGATGTGGTAACTCCATCTTTGCTATTCTCTCCACATCCCATCCTTGATATGATATTCCCCCTCCTGTTTGTGGTGTAATTTGTTCCCTCCTCCCCACCTCTTCCTATACCAAATCCCTACAGCACTTACCGTGCACTGGCTTGCCTCACTCCTGTTTGTGATGGACATGGAGGATTGTGTCGGGTGCACCTCCCCTGAAGAAAGAACAAAGCTACAGCTATGTATGGGTGCTGTAAGTGAGAGAGTGAAAGGCCACTGCTTATTTTAACCCTTCCCTAATTAAATATGCAAAGGTATAAAGAATTTCATTGCATTTCCAATGAGTATCCTGGGAAGAGTTTACATGGGGAAAAAAATCATCTACTGCAAGGTACTGATCCCCAATAGCAGTGAACATGGGAAGAGCAGAGCGTTAACAGAGTAGGATTGTCCTCTTCAGTATCCTCACTTCATCCAGCCTGCCTGGCATCAGATCTTCTAATACTTCTAATCAGTTATCACTTTGGTCCCTTTCTAATATCCAAGTCCTTCTCAGACACTGGAAAGAGTGTTAACAATTGAAATAGGAACCCTCATTTCTTCTACATAGTAGCAAAGGATGTGTTAGAGTAAAAAAATCTGCAAGACCTCTCACAAATTATGTTTGTGGAAGCTTGAATACCTCTTTGAAGATGCAGCTGCAAAGTGAGCAAATCCACTGCAGGCACACAGTCAGTACACAGGACAAGTGGCATAAAATCCGGGCCTGGGCAAGGTTTTTCAGCTGAGGTCTCAAGTTGGACAGAAACACTAATGAGGGGGATGAGGCTTCTCCTGCAGGACTAGAAAAAATAGGAATTTGAGAAGCTTAGAACACAGAAGCCTTTTTTGGGACACTGTAACATGAGAACAGACTCAACACTTACCTAGAAGGAAAAGGTAGGTGAGAAGCTGGCAGAGATACAATGCTCACGCAGCTGGCGGCAATGTATATGCAATAAACATTATGGAATCTGCAATATGAAATAGTAGACGTCAGAAAGAGCTCATAGAAACCAAACACTCAGGTTTTCTTGGGATGGCTGGGCTGATCTTCATTTATAACATTGTAGGAAAATAATTTATGGTAAGGGATTGGGAGACATGAAGGTTTGGACAAGTGATGAGGAAAGTCCACATGGGAGGTCAGATTAAGAGATGGTTTCAGAGACAGTAAGAGAGATCAGGGCTCTAAAGACAGGAGCACCTTGAGATCTTGCGTTCCAAGTTCTGGAAGAGGATCTTGGCTCCAGGTAGCAAACCCCGGAGATGCTGCAGGTAGGTGGCAGTAATGTAAATGTCCATGACAACAGGGGAGCCTGAAGCAACTGAGACGCTGAGCTTTACACTGTGATCCCTGGACAGCAGAGTTCCTGAGGAGGCACAGAACCACACAGACCATGAGCTCACTCACACAGGCAGCATGGCCTGTCACTAAGCTGGGCCTGTTAGAGGGGTTTTTCCTCCCATCACAATGAGGCTATCACTGTTTCACCTCCCAAGTTTTCTGGATACTGCATTCCCATTCCCATCTCCACATACACACTGTACAGTTTCCAAGGCCTTTGACATGCAAGAGGATGCAACACCCCGGCACACTTCCACTATTCCCAGACACAGCAGCACACTTAGCCAAGTGCATTGACTCTCTGAAGCAGAAAAAAAGAAAGAACAAATCTGCTGCTTCTCAACAGGCTGCCACAATCTTACCTTTCTGCTTTGGAAGGCCAGCAGTCACAGATGGCTTCTCATTCTTGGGAGAGGCACACAAGGTCCTCTCCACGATCTCACCACAGAAAGAAACAAGGGAACCTGTGAAACTGAGAGCAGACCAGGATTTCTGCCCTGCCTGAAGACAAAGGGAGTGGAAGAAGGCCTGATTTCAAGATTGCCACAAAGTGGAGGAGCATTGTTGCTTAAGCCCAGTTTCTGGGGAACCTACCCTTGAGCACCTATCACCTGAAGCTTGCTGCAGCCTACCCCTCCCAGGAACAAGAGGCGCCTTTACCCTGTTTTCTGCTGCTTCAGGCTTCCTATCAGCTAAACTCCTATCTGCTAAACTCCTACCTGTTTTTCTGAATTAGAGGAAAGAAAACATAGTTTTTCATAAAGCAATGGTCAAAATTCCAGTGGACATGCATGTCACCCCAGATTAAACATGCTTTGAACTGAAAAGCTTCTAATCTTAGTATATGTTTGAGCAACCCTAACCCTTCTCCCAGAAGAGCAAACAAACAAAAAAAAACCCAAACCAAAACAAAACCACAAAAACCAACCAACAACAACAAAAAAATTACATTCAGTCTGATATTCCCTGCTGTGCTTGTTTCCATTTCTGACAGGAATTTGGAAGACACCTTTGGGACTTAGTCCACACCATCAGTAGCTGAATTAGCTGGACATTTTCTAGACACCATTTTGCAGTTTTGTCTACTACCTACAATCCCTTTAGCTTCAATAACCAGAATAGGAGAAGTCTGGACTACTTGCACATAGTAGTGCAAATTTTTTTTCTAATGTTTTTCAAAAAAAATTTCCAAATTTTTTCAAACCATATTCCTAGGGTGGATATTTCACCACAGTTTAATACGGCACTTCCCAATAAAAATTAACACAGAGCCATTCCCTAGGACACA